ATCCGTGTGCCACTTTGATGGCTGTTTTAAGGGGAAAGTTGTGATAGAGTTGGGAAAAAAATAGACAAGGAGCACCTCAATGATTCAATAGGTTTGTACCTTGTGAGACTAGACTATAGTAATAGTAAGTTTATGTGATGTAAAAGTTTAACACATTAGGAATATCTTGTACTACCAACATTAACAGAAAGAAATGCTAGTCTCTCCCAAGAACCATAATACAGACATCTCCTGACTGAAGTCTGTGTAAATAAAAAAGAACCGTGAAAGCATGTTGGCAGCAGCACAGGTCTGTCACATCCAGCTTGTAAAAATCCTACACTGACAGGAGAAATGATTGAACTTTTCCTGGATTTGCTCTGCTTAGTCTGGAGATAAACACAATATTTTGGCAGTGTTGTCTCGCTGACTCATAATGACACCTAACCTGTTCTTTAAATTAGATAAGCTGTGACCAGAGTTTGCTCACTTCTCTTACTATGGCTGCTCTGAAAAGTGGTAGCCCAAAGTAGGCCAATTCATGTTTTTTGTCACTAATAAAATGTCCATTAACAGACCAGATGAAACGTCTGTTACTGAGTGGGAAAGGGTTCCCATAAAAAAGCGAAGGGAGATGTTTGCATGCTGCTCTTCAAATGTACATTTGCCAAACCAACCGGTTAGTCTTTTCTCTTGTAAAGACTTGGAGAAGCCATACAAAGGGGAGAATTCTGCTTTATCAGAAGTATTTCAACCCCTATTTATTACTTTTATAAGAGAAAGACGTTAAGGAAGTGGTTGGTTTTGGTAAGTGTACATCTGGTTAGCCACCCTACCCCCTTTAAAGATCCGCTTCCCTGTGCACCAGTGGGTGAGCTAGGCCAACAAATGCAAAACAACTACAAAAGCAGCATCCTACAGGGCCTTGTATTTATAGCCCTCCTTATTAATCCATGCACATCCATGCATAAAACTGGCAAAACATTTGACAATCATGTACATGAATGCAGGTGCCGGCCAGAAGAGTGCCATGTTCGTCCACGCACAGTCTTTCGAGGATCTGACTGCTGAGGCTGAGGAAGAGGCTGGGAGGGAGGCTGAACTAGACATATCAGGAGAGTGTACGGAGGAGCTCAAGGTGATGGTGGGGGAGAAAACCCTAGAGGAGCAACACAACAACGACATTTCACCAGAGAGCAGGCCGAAGGAGGAGGACGTGTCCAGCGAGGCGTGGAGGAGCCACAGAAAACACGTGTTTGTGCTGAGCGAGGCTGGAAAGCCAATCTACACCCGCTACGGCACGGAGGAGGCTCTGTCCAGCACCATGGGGGTGATGATGGCCCTCGTGTCCTTTGTTGAAGCTGAGAAGAACATCATCCGCTCCATCCATGCAGGTCAGAATAGACTAAAAATAAATAGGTCAAACGTGCATGTTGTGAAATGTGTTGTGTCCATGTCAACGCAATAACATTTTGTGTGTCAGATGGCTGTAAAGTGGTTTTCCTCGCCAAGAGCCCTCTGGTCCTGGTGGGCGTGTCTCGTACCTGTCAGTCGGACAAGGAGCTGCTGCGGGAGCTGCAGTACATCTACTACCAGATCGTCAGCCTGCTTACCCTCACCCAGCTCAACCACATCTTCCAGCACAAGCAGAACTACGACCTGCGCCGCCTGCTGGCCGGCTCCGAGTATCTCATCGACAACCTTCTGCATCGGCTGGACCGAGACCCCGGTCTGCTGCTCAGTGCCGTCACATGCCTGCCTCTGGCCAGCTCCGCCAGGGACGTGGTCTCATCGAGCCTGCAGGCCGCCAAAGCCAAAAACCTGGTGTTCTCCATCCTGCTGGCGGGGGACCGCCTGGTTACTTTGGTGAGGAAAAAGGACCAGTTCCTGCACCACATAGACTTGCACCTGGTCTTCAACCTCGTCGGCTCCTCCTCGTCCTTTAGAGAGGGTGAAGGCTGGACGCCGATCTGTCTGCCAAAGTTCAACACTGCAGGATTTTTCCACGCTCACATTTCTTACCTGGAGCCTGCGTCCGAACTCTGCCTCATCCTGGTCTCGACCGACCGAGAGGACTTCTTTAATATGTCCGACTGCAAGCAGCGATTTCTGGAGAGGCTGAGCAAGCGCGGTGCCTACCAGGCCCTGAAGGAGGCGCTTAAATGTCCCACCTACTCTGTGGAGCAGGTCGGCATCCCGGAGCTCAGGCACTTCCTGTACAAATCAAAGAGCTCGGGGCTGTACATCAGGTGAGCGGGACGTCTGCTGAAGCTTTATGTCACTGGTTCCTGCATTGAGAAACGCGCCAAAAGTCATATCATTTTGTCTGAATGCAAAACCTCTTTCCTGCAAATCTTCAGGTGTTGCACCTGACAGGATACTCTTTTTCCTTTCCTCCAGTCCAGAGTTTCCTGTAGTGTACCAATCTGATGAGGAGCAGGAAAGGCTGATGGGATTGTACCAGGACCTTCATAGCAGCTTGCATAATCCAACCAGACCTCTCCGCTCCTTCTACCGCTGTAGTGAAACTGAAAACCTGCTGGCATGGGTGAGCCTGGCACACACCAGAACATCACAGCATTGTTTAAGTTCTTCACTGAGTTTGAATTATTGTTATGTTTAAAAAAAAAAAAAAAAAAAAAAGGTCATTATTAAATATCACACTGTTACTTCTTAGCATCCATGCTGTCCGCAGTCACTTCCTGAGGCTTTTTAAATCATTTTGAAAACTGTGTTAGATGTTGATAAAGTTTTCTAGTTTACACCCCTCTAACTAGACATCAAACATTAGATGTCACTTGCATGTTTAATAATCTATAGTACATTAAGCTACAGTGATACTGTAAGGCCTTTTCAGACAGGAAGCGATTGATGCGCCTAGTAATTCGTTTTCAATGAGAGGCGAGCGGGTAGAAAGGAAGGCAATCTGACAGACGGAGTGACAAGCGGACAAGTTTTTTCTGCGCAACGCACAGCGCATCAAAGGATGAGCGACTGATCCTTGGTGTTTGTGAGTTTCCTGAATTATTTAACTGTTTCCTTGAAGCCAGGTTAAGGTGTAGGCCTTCTTGCAATGACCTTGGCAGCTTTCTCTTATTCATTAAAAATAATCTAATAATTTTACACAGCTGGAGCACCACACTTTAACCCCAGTCCATAGCTAAACAAAACAACTACACTTATTCACAGAGATCCAGTTAGTGTACTCAACTGAACTAAACTCACATGTAAACATACTTACTGAACTAATTTGAAAGTTAGTAGTTGAATTATTTAGTTATAGACTCTTTCAGTAATTTCTAGAAGATATATTTCAATGTTTTCTATAACCTATAAAGAAAATACATCTGCGGGGAAACATTAGCGCACGGAAGCCGTTACCATGGTTAATACCCATAGAGCGCCTACAGTTTACTCGCGGAGCGCTTGGCAGACACTCAGTATATTGCAACATTTTTGTCCTCTCCCTCACTGCTGTAGCTTTTAAAAAGTATGAGAGTGGTGCTGGAGGTATAAGCAATTATGTTGTAATATTCTCACAAGGTTAAAGAAACTATTGCTAATATGAGGATGGCTATATTCTGAGGACTGAACATTTGATTTAGAGTTTTGCACTTTGAATGTAAGGACTGCATTCTACCCTCCTTCCTGCAGGTGACAAGTGGCTTTGAGCTCTACATCTGCTTCAGTCCGCTGGGGACTAAGGCCCTGGCCCTCTCTGCTGTCAACAAACTGCTGAAGTGGATCAGGAAGGAGGAGGATCGCCTCTTCATCCTGAGTCCTCTCACATACTGAGCCCTCGCTGCCTTGCTGATGTCCTGAAACATAAAGCGTCACCCTGGACACCGACGGCCCTGGTGCTAACAGCTGTGGATGATGATGCAGCAGTCAGTCCAGTGTTTACGAATGATAGTCAAAGATATGCTTTTTCTCTCTCGCTTCTGGATTCCTATGATTTAATTCACAGATTTGTGATGAATTAGATTGTAAATTAAAGCTGTATTTTTATCTGGCTACATTTTTATAACTTTAAATTCAGATAACAACAATAGAACAATAGATGGAAGCAGCATCAACGTCATCGATGACACAGTAACAACATAAACGGTGGTGTTCGTATGCTGTTGAAGTTATTTCATAAATATTTGTTTTGTATTATGCCTCTAACAATATGAAAAATGCTATCTGTTTTTTTTAAATGCTATCAGCTCAGTTCTTTAAAATCAAGAATGACATTTGTCAAAAGTCAAAAACTGTAATTTTCTGAAGACCTGCAGTAAAATGTAATCTTTTGTGATTAAAACATGCTATCAAAATATGAGTTTACCACATTCCTGTTGTGTTTTATCTTTACATGATGACCAATAACTGTAAGAACCACTGACATTATACCTCTTTGCACTTTCTTTATGCAAAAGGAACTTCAAGAGAAATGTGTTCAGGAGTCTGTAATATGCACATTAATTATGAAAAGTATTGTGTGAAATGTTATCTGCTTGTGTCTAATCATAATTTCACGGGACCTTGCTTTGCTTGAGGAATCCAACAAAGCCGCATCTGCCTCCACTAATCAAGCCTTAACTAATTGTCATTGTTCAAATCAAAATTATGGTTGTAGCAGTGCACATTTATGGCTGATGCATAATTCCAGAGTTGTTATGTATAAATAAATAAATAAATCATTGGTAATAAACAGACTCCCTATCAGTCTTATGTGTCCTAAGACTTCTGGTTTTACTGTTTTAGTGTCGTTGAGGATCTTGAAAAGTGCTATAGAAATAAAATATATGTATTATTACAGTAAAATGTACAGTAGGTACTCTTGAATTGGTTGCCAGAAATCAAAAAAGATATAAAGACAAATCTGTTCTAAAAATGCATCAATTTATGGCATAATGTATGTCACCACGAAAGGGGCATTAACCAGTACTCATACAATGTGTTTGCTGCTGGTATCTGTCAGTCTGAAGTGGTGAGGGGAGGAGCAAGGTGGAGCACTGCTCTAGGAAAGAAGACTGACTCATACTGGGAGTTGAGTTAAATCCGAAACCAATTCAGTTTACATGTTCCAGCAGAGGACGGGCAGGCTTTGTCTTTTAGCAGAAATTAATCTTGCCGTGTTAATCTTATTTCTCCCTGAGGGAAGATCAGTCATCCCTGCGCTGAAGTCAGACAAGGACCAAAGCTGGCAGTGGCAGCTTCCCTGAAGAGGATAGAAACTAACCAGCAAAGGTAACCTTTTCGTAACATTCAGAGCAGCATGTAGGCTTACCATAGATATTTTTCAACAAAATAGAAAAGAACTAGCGATCTGCTACTGCTAATTCTTGCAGTAGGCACTTGTTCAGATAGCATACCAAACATGCAGCCACTGTAAGTAAACAACTGCTCTTCTGAAAAACTATATGGTGGTACTGTTATAATACATTAAGCCTATGATTTGAAACATATTACTGTGTGCCACTTACAGAATTTAAAGTAATGTTAGAGGTTTAATGAAGAGTTTTAATTGTTATATAGGCTTGGGGTACTTAATGTGTGTGATGATGAGTGAAAAAGGTGCGCTGGTGACTAATAACAGAAAGGGGGAGTTGCCAGTGTCATTTACTAGTCCATTTTTAATGTGAGAATGATTTTGTGAAATTTTACATTTATAATTGGATTTATTCTCACTACAGTGTGTGTAATAGAACACAGTGCCCAACTGTAATCATTCCTAAAGCTCACAGAGGAATGTGTTGCCCTGTCTAACTTTTTATGTTATTCACAGCTATTGGAATCAAATACCATCTTACATGTGGATAGGAGCCAGAATACACTGTTACAGTTTGAATTTAAGGCAGACTGTTAGAGTAAGAAACAGGAGCATGAACACAGAGATCAGATAAAAAAAACAAAAAACATTAAAGCACAGGCTGAAAATTATGCTGCTTCTGTGCAATTTTCAAAACTGATTTTGGTACCATGTTGACCACTTACATTGTTTTTGAAGAGCACGCTCAAAAAAAAAAATCATCCCTATATGAATTTAGCCCCCTGCGATGGATAGGCGACCTGTCCAGGGTGTACCCCGCCTTTCGCCCGATGTCAGCTGGGATTGGCTCCAGCCCCCCGTGACCCTGTACGCAGCGGTCGACGATGGAGGGATGGATGGATGGATGGATGGATGGATGAATTTAGCAATTTCAAAATAAAGTAAATCCAGAGTAGTTCTCTGTCCACACTGATGGATTTGGGATGCATTTCCTGCCACTGAATCAATACATTTGTCCTTGAGGTATTTGACCACTGACTGTTTTTGCACATCAGCTTGCCTCTTCAGATCCCTGTGGCTATCTGTGCAGTGATTAATAAAAGTTGCTCTTTGTCACTGTAATGAAATGCCACCAAAGTGCCTGTGGGCAAGGCATTGATCCAATAAAGCTGTTGCCAATGCAATGCCTGCATTCCTCTCACTGTAGCCTCGTAGGTCATTGTTGTAAGTAAATGATAGCAAAGAAACGTGTTTTATGTTTGGAGAATGAGACAGGTAAATCATAAAAACGCATAGTACTCATAGAGCGAATATTTCTTGAAATCTGCTTTGATATTGTTCCAGTAGAACCAATGACACTGGTGTTCTAGTATGATTGCATCTTAATTCACCTGTGAGAGAATATACTGATCCAGCCTTCAGCTAACATCTGCATGCGGACCGGCCTGTAAATAGCGCTATAGTACAATGAATGGAAACTCAATTTCAACCATTTGCTTTATTAACCATGAACATGAAAAAAGTCAATCAGTGCCATTACTATGTATACCCATGTGCTCTAACCTTAATCTCAGTTTCACATGGAGCTGCAAATGTTAAAAAGTAACACAGCTTGAGATTCTATAAATTATTGATGTAAAGACAGCAAACACTTGACTTCAGATTTTTCCATATGATTCCTTATTGCAAGAACAAGTGCTGTTGTTTTTGAACAAAATGTGGTCAAAACGAAGTTAAATAAAATAATCAGAGTTGGTGAAATTCTCTGGCACGAGCAGACGAGCCGTTTCTTTTTCACCTGGGCCTTAAATAGTCACATGTCTTCCTATGACCATCATCTTTCCCCCTGAAAGGCACGTAGTGGTTGTGACAGGAATGCAAAGTAGAGAGGCCGGGGATCTTGAATACAGCCTTACTGTGATGTTTCTAGTTAATGATCCACCCAACAACAGGACAAGGCTCAGGGTTTGAAATACGGTTCCATTTGGTTGGTTGTTTATAGACTGATGAAGATGAGCCATGGAAAAATGCTCAGTTTTATTTGATACATTTGTTGTATTAAAGTTCAACTGTGGCCATTAACTTTATTTGTTACTACCAGTAGTCTATAGGATAAGAACACTGTCACAAGTATTCACAAACAAATACGCAACTTGTAAAACACAATGCACAGATAAATGTAGAGTGAAATGTATCTGTAAATCTGTATCTGTGTCTCAAATTTACAGCTCTTATATCATCATTTGTGTGTCAACTACTTGTGGAATCTCCATCTATTCATGTGGATCCTTTTGAGACTGCTTTTCCATGCCGTTTGTGTCACACAAAAAATCCACAAGTGCAAGGAAGACAAAGTCTTTCCAGTAGATGGTAGTAATGCAGCATTTATGGATGCCAACTTGAACTCTCAGCAGCAATAGAGAATTCTTTTAAAATTTCTTAAATTGCTAAACTGTCACTATATCCTGACAGTAGTACATTAAACAGATAATCTGTAAAAAAAAAAAACCCAGACATTTAAATTTAAATAAATGTGGTTCCTCTGGCTCCTCCTAGTGCTCCTAATGCAATTTGCAAGAATCCACTGCTCCCGGGTTAAAACAACACAACCAATCAGAGCCAGCAGCAGTCTCTAACGCCGTGTCAATGACCACTGACTGCTCTTGCAAACACTGCGCAGCTCCTCTCTCACTCAGTCAAGCTCAATATCTTCAGTGCAGCTTCAGACGTTTTGCAAACACAATGGCTTAGAAACCACCAGCAATGAAAGAACTAAGAATTATGTTCAATGCCATGGCGCTCGTATCGAGTGGCAAAGACGTATGATGACAAACAGTGGGGAATAACTTTTGAGTGGACACATTGGTGTACTAGCCTCTCACGCAGGATGAGGTTTTGCAGGGCAACCGATTACTTCTGCCGTATGAACTTGTGGGTTTGGTGGGAGGGGGGTTAGCACAGTAATACAAGCAGCAGAGAGAGGGATGCATTGTATGTTCAATTGTTACTGACTGCTGCTTTAAACTAACAGTAAGCTGATATGGCAGCTACAAAGGTTCTGAAGAGAGACATAGATGTAGAGTAGGCTACTGATTGGGATATATGAGTACAAATTCATTATCGAGAAACATAACAGCTGTGAAACAGTGGGAAAATGAAAAGAATGTGTGTCCATAATAAAGAACATTGTTATTTATGGAGATACAGAAGACACTAGTTTGCTAGCCACGCTGCTGCTGCCCCTTCACTAACAGGTAACCAGTGACAGAACATGGTTTGGTGTTCTTCTTAGTTTAACATCGGTTGGCATCATAGACTGTATGGTTGGCATTTATAAATGTCAAATTACTCTTAACCAATGGAAAGGCTTGGTCTTCCCTCCACTTTTGGATTTTTCTCAAAAAGGATCCACACAAACAGGTGGAGATTCACAAACATATTTCTGTTGAAAAATGCCATACAAATGTTGATATATGATCTGTAATTTAGGGACACAGATACGGATCCAGATTTACAGCTAGAAATCACTCTACATTTGTTTGTGAATTGTGCTTTGCAGAGTCACATAACAGTTTACGAGTCACACATTTGTTGATTTTGTGAGAAATGGTAGAGAATTGTGTTTTACAAGTTACGTCTTTACGTGTTTGTGAATACTTATGAGACTGTTCTAATTCCAAAGTACTCCTAGATAAAAGATCATGACTCACAATGGGAAAAAAAAACATGAGATGTCGGATTAACTCAAATAAACATTACTGACAGAATGACTTGTGCAGGAAGTCACTATAAAAATAGTCGTATCCACTGTCTACCAAACTGAGCACTACCAACACAGATCTCTGTTTGATTATGTAAACATTTCCGATCAGTGTTTGTGGTGAGTCAGAGAAAGCTTTATGACCACATGTACTTTCATCATCATCTGGCGCAACCAAGATGATATTTATCACCTCAGATCTATTAGCATTCAGTGCAGAGCCTATTTAAGGAGATATTTTGATATTTTGCCTACTTCCTCGGTTACAAATAATGCACACTCCTAGGTAGCACAATGTCCATAAAACATTACGTTTTCTTTGATGAATGACTTTTGATAATATATAGTTTTGCTAGAGGTTTAGTGTTACTGAAGAAAAAGGATATAGTAGATTAGTTTTGAATTAAACTGGTTTCAGCCATTTCATATTTTTGAAGATCAATTTAATTATTTAATGAGTTATTCTACTCTGTCATTTCATTTCATTCAGGTATCAGACGCTGGTGCTAAGGATGTTTTTGTCCCGATATCAGACCTGGAGGTAACCCCACGTTGTCTGTGCTGTCGCTCCCTCTCCCCGTACACCCCGGAGTGGAGATGGTCCACTGGACCGCACAGTGGGGGACATGTGTCTGGCTCCAGACTCTGCTGGCCTTTGCCTTGGCCAACTGTTCCTCACCCACCCCCAGTGCTGTCAACTTTTCTGTGATTTATACCATGCCCTTCTTCCAGGCCCGGGGCCCCATCCAGAACATTGTCAATAACTCGTTTTACCAGGAGGTTTATGTTGCCTCTCAGAATGTCATTGAAGCTGTCAACAGAAGCTTGGAGAAGGTGTGGGAGCTCCGCACTGGGCCGGTGGGAAGCCCAGAGTGTCAGATATGCGATTTGTGCGATGTTGACAAGGATCCCAACTTCCTGGAGGACACAAACAATCAGGTCTTGCTGTTGGATACTCTCTTTATGTATTTATACTCTTGTGGAAGTTCTCAGTATGGTGTATGCTATTTCCACCAACTTAACTCAAATGGAGAGTCGCCTTCTCTTTCAAAGTGTTTATTCAGAAAGGATTCAAACGCTGCCGCCTACTGTCCTGACTGTGTGGCCAGCCCTCTTGGTACCAAAGTCACCATGGTTGAAGAGGGTCAGACAGTCTATTTCTTTGTTGCCGCCACTGTCAATGACAGTGTGACCCAGCGTTATGGAAGGAAGTCTATATCAGTGCGTCGACCACTGGCCACAGAAGATGGTTTCTACAGGGATGTTCGTGGTCTGACTGTCCTTCCGGGCTTGCGGAGGACATATCATATTGAATATGTGTACAGCTTTTTCACTCAGGAGTTTGTGTACTTCCTCTCAGTTCAGAGAGAGAGCCCCGACCAGGACTCATCTCCGTTTCAGACTCGCTTGGGCCGTCTCCCACGGAATGAATGGGAAATGAAGAGGTATCGCGAGGTGATTCTGGAGTGTCGCTTTGAGCCAAAACGCCGAAGGAGGAATGTAGCCAGTGAACCCTATAAGGATGTGGTGTACAACGTGGTCCAGGCAGCCCATTTTGGCAAGGCAGGAAGAGAGCTGGCAGAGGAGTTAGGGGCGGAGGAGGAGGATGACATCCTCTACGGGGTTTTTGCTGTTACTGATGACAACGGGGTCACGGAGCAGGACTCTGCTCTGTGCGCCTTCCCCATGGACAACGTGAACAAAGCAATCGCAGATGGCGTGGACGACTGCTGCGAGTCTGGACCAGAGCAGCTCTCCAGAGGGCTCTGCCATTTCCAGCCCTGTGAGAGCTGTCCACATGAGGTGAGCACATCACTGCACTGACACACAGCAATTCCAGACGATTTATATGATCTCAGGTCTACTTTTATTTAACCGAAAGAGTCCCAGTGGGATTTTCATCAAGATACTGTTTGAAAGAGGCAGACAGGTGAAGAACAAAGGTAAATTCAGTTATGTGTGACTGCGTCAGGGGGTCTGGTAAGTGGGAACCACTGAATAAGAAGATCCATTTGTTTCCAGCAATACATGCCACAATACTTACTCACTTTTGAGAACTCACCTAAAATAGAAAACATATAAGTTGTTTCCCTGAACTGCACCCATTAGTTTGGATACTGTTTGCACCTTGTAAGGGCCTGTTAAAAATCTAACCATGTGGGTGGAGCTACAAAGTATGTCTGGAGTGATGTTCTCTTACTGTGTGTATAAACATTGAAACAGTAGGTAAACCACAGCCAGGAGTTAGCATAGTGTTGTTCCGCCTAACACTACCTCTAAATGTGCTGGACTATGACTTGGTCAGGAGCAGAGGCTTCCTGGAATATTGTCGACACTGTGAGGTTGCCACACATCCTGTGGAGATGCGTTAAAAAAAATCAAGACTTGTTAATAAGTCAGCTTTAGACTGCTGGTCGTGGATTTCTTATCTTTGGAAAGAGCCAGGCTAGCTGTTTCTTCTTATTCTTCTTTTCTGGCTTTCCAGCAGACTAGATGCCTTATGGCATATTGTTGCCTCTCACTGTTCAGTCTCAGTATCGTTTTATGGCATCACCATTCTCAGAGAGGTAATCCTGTGCAGATATAAAGTCTGTGACTGCTTCAGTATCCTTGATTGGTTCTCATGAGGATTCAAAATGTCTCTCAATGTCACTGTCTGTATTCCAGCTCCTGATAGCGCAGAGTAAAGTTGATCTCTTTGCCTTTTGTACTGTTGACATTCCATTAACAGTCTGTTGTTGATTGCAGGTTCTACAGAGTCCATCCTCATGTTTGCCCATCTTTGCCAGATCCCATGCAAGTCCACAGTGTCCCAGTCTCAGTCTTGTCATGATTACAGAATGTCTTCTGGTTTTACCCAAGTAACACTGCTCTGCTTTTTTTTATATTGAATAGTAGTGACAACCCCTTGTTTCATTTTCCCACTGCCTCTGTCACACTGCTGTCATGTGTTCCTTTATGACAGACCGACATTCAGAAACCCCAATACAAACTGCTAGATCAATGTCTCTTTTCAAAGCCATTTTGCTGCCTTGCCTGTCTCCGTGCTCCCCAATTAGGCTAGCTGTTTCCCTCTGCGCCCAGTCTTATACTAAGCTAAGCTAACTGTCTGCTAGCTTTAGCTTCATATTTAGCATGCAGACATGAGAGTGGAATCGACCATCTCATCTCGGCAAGAAAGCAAATTAAGCATATTTCCCCAAAAGTCAAACTATTACTATACACTGTTAATGTGTCATATGGTGGGGACTGAGACGTGACATTATTTACAGTTATTTACAGTAGAAAAAATATTTACAGTTGAAATATTGAATCCCCCTATTCAATATTTCAACTTTAAATATTTTTTCTAAATAGTAGGTCTATTAAAATATATTCTTGTCTTGTAGTCATGGACACCAATCTTGTGCAATGTCACTTCTCAGTCCCCTCCATATGACACATTAACAGTGTTATAATATAGAGAAGTTCAGAAGGGGTTCTCCTTTAAAGAGATTGTCGGGGGTCCTCCCCCCGAAGATTTTGAGCATTAAACACTTAATTTCCTGCATTCTGGAGACATTTTCAGCACCAATTTGTGTTTTTTAGAAAGGAAGCACAAAATTCAGGTGGCAGGTGACAATTCACAATATAAAAATATAATAAAATGTAATGCAGTAATCAGTAGCTTATTATTATTATTATTTGGTTAACAAATGCTTTCAAAAAGTGGTGGCTACATGTCCCCAGTGTCCCCAGTGTAAATGCTCCCTCCCTGCTCCCTCCCAACAGGCTGAGCTGCTCCATGCTTCCCGCTTCACCTCCACTCTCCTCCTGCTCACGTTCTCACTCGCCTGTCACTTTGTCACTCTGTTTCACTGTCTCACGCCTCCTCCTCTGCCTGGTAGGGGCTACAGCTCTTTTACTCTTCCAGGTGCCTGTGCCTGCTCTATGCAGGGTACTGCAGCTGACGTTGAAGCTGCTGCAGCCCCGGTAGCAAACAGATCGGTTATTTTCACGCATTTGGCGGAAGCCTTCTGAAGAATGATTTTTATGTGGCTCGTAATGCAAGAAACAGAGAGCAGAGGGGGTGGGGGCTAGAAGAGATGTGATTGGGCCAGCCCAATGTCAGTATAGAAAATTACCCAATGGGCCGCTGCCGTGCTTTATGGGCCGATCGTTGGCCCGTCTTTTAAAAAGTTATATAAATAAATAATTACGTCACACCGGCCCCAAAGGTACGTGGCCCACCTGGCATTTGCCCGGTATGCCAGATTGCCAGTCCAGCCCTGGAGTGGATCAACACACATTACTATCTGAATCTTTTCGGTCAACTGAAATGGTGCCTGAGTCCAACCCAACATACGGACATTTTAAATATGATTTACTTTATGCACAAACTCTTCATCATGTGTCAGATCTTCAATATTACATACCCATAAAAGGAAACTTTTTGGATTTCTGTGAAGTACCATAAGGTCATTTGCATCCCAGCCGGCAGAGGAATGCAACTAGAACCACTTGCATCAGCGTTCTTTGAGCACTCGCTGTTAAATCCATGTCAAGAGGGATACAAATTGCTTTTTGGATGGAAAAATTTTTATGATATGGGATGGTCAGACAGGAAGAGAGTATTTAAAAGAAACTGAAAATGTAATTCACGTTAGTCAATCAGAATCAGAATCAGAAGGAGCTTTAGTGCCAATAGTGTTTAACACATACAAGGAATTTGATTTGGTGATAAGGTGCTACACGTAGACAAACATACAGATGACATAAATAAATGTAGAAATATATAAATATGGAATAAACAAATGCAAGTTAAATAAGAATAATAAAAGAATAGAGAAAAACAAATACTATTATTTGCAGAGAAAGAACAATGTGGCAGATTTTTACCTGTGCATTACTCTGGTTTATGTAGTGCAGATATATTGCAACAGAAGAGAATATTGTGTACATAAATAAATAGACAATATGAAAATATAGAACAATGATTAACAACTGACAACCAATATGTGCAACTGACAACAAATATGTGCAAAATACATTTGCCTCATTCCTTCCTATTTTATTAGTCCCTGCATACTTCAGTATCCTTTGAGGTCATAGTGTGCATTTGGGTAACACTTTATTTTAAGGTACTTGTAATAGACACTTTTAAGACCTTATAGGATGCTTCCAAACATAAATAAGTCAAGTGTTAATGAAAGCATAATTAACAGATTTATTATTGCTTATAAGACAATTATGGGCTCTTATTAGAAACGTGTTAACAAGTTATATATACCTCATGAACCTTAATAAGATGTTTATTAACATTAATGAGACTTAATGAGTGTTAGTAATGTCCTAAAACACATTATTATTGCTTGTAAGATATTTATGAACACTTATTAGAAACTTGTTAACAGCTATAAACCACTTATCAATGTTAATAGGATGTTTAGTGACAGTAATCAGACTGTAAGAAGTTTATATTACTGCCTTATAAAGGCTAATATATCCTTATTTATGCACTTATTAACCATTAACAATGCACCTTTGCAGCTACCTAAACTAAAGTGGGAACAGTGGCTTATTTAAATTAATAAACCCTTTATTATGCACTTATTAACCATTAACAATGCTCCTTTGCACCCATACTAAAGTGGGATTTCATAACTTTCAACTAAATGCAGCAACCAAAAGAAGAGTATATTAAACTTCCACTCAAACACACGAATAAAATAAAAGTGCAATTACAAATACATTTTCTTTAACATTAACTCTAAACAACATTATGTAAGATGACCTTGAGATCGTGGACTTTGGGGAACATTTTTTGGCTCCCATCCTCCAACTCCACGAAGATCTTCTGAAACCTTAAAAGGCCCTTTAGATAGGTGAAAGCCCTACAATGGGAATACCAAAAATATGTTCAGTGCAAATGAAGGGAGGGCCTCTTGGATGGCTGAAACATCGTTGTCATTATACCAGAGTGAATTTTTTGCTAGATGTTAAGAACACATATTGCTCTTTGCTCTCCCTCTGTACAGAAATCTGGGTGGGATTATATAGTTGCTGTGGCAATTTTGAGCGTTGTTGGGATTTAAGTCAAGAAATGTGTGTGCGCATCATAAATACATTTGTGAACCTTAATGTTTTTCTCACATGGATTTGCCTACATTTATAAACAATAACTATCTTGTGTGAATTGAAAAATATTTATGTGGAGAGAGTCATGTATATATAAATCAAGAAATAAATTTGCGATTCCTGCAGTGTGCATTAATAAAAAGAGGTCAGAAAACTTTTTTTCTTTACCTGGTAGTCCTTGATTAAGTCCTCTATCTTATCATCAAGTTAGAGAATGAGGCCTCTGATCACAGATTCTTTTCAGGACTCAGTGCTGCTGTCCTACAAATATGAAATACAAGATTATCTTACAGTATAGATATCCGATAGCTACATTAAACTAACAGCTACAATATTAAAAGTACATGCCTCGTTTATGATGTCAAGGGTCTTTTCAAATTCCTTCCCATCAGCTCCTCCCTTCCACTCTACCTGTTACAGTCCACAGGGAATGTGGACTGTAGTGGCTTCAGTCTGATGCTTGAGAATTGTTCCTTGATCTGAGAAAGAGACTGAGAGAGAAAGAGAAACATCATGAGATACTGAGAGAAAAGAATTAGAGACACAGGGAAAGAGAAACAGAACACCAAGAAAAAGTAACCCTAGAAACTACCACCATGGGATCAACAAAAATAGATTACCAAGGTAATGGAACTAATGTATAGCCAGCAACATCTGGTGCATACACATTAGACATAAAGTCTTGCTGTTCTTAGTAAAAAAAAAAAAGTCTGAATAATAATTTAGTAATTTTTGATAGATCTATCAATTTGCTCTGTGAAATGCAAAAAACGAACAGGGCAAGTAGAACTCTGCCATCTGAAATGAAAACAACTTTTTGCCTGGCCCATGAGTTAGTTAATATAACTGTAAATTGTACATTCACACACTCAATATGCACAGATTGCACATCACATTGTAATTTGCATTCCTAATACAACTACCCTATATACTTCTGTACATATCTGCTATTTTTGCCACTGATAGGTTCAGATTGTTATTGTCTGACAATCATAGAAAGGGTCCTTACAGAGAGAGACATTTTTGTCTGTTCCAGAGTCTCGACTGAAAACTAAAGGGGACAGAGCGTTTGCTGTCAGGGCCCCGAGGCTCTGGAACAGCCTGCCCGAGGAAATCAGGTCGGCTGAGTCAGTGAACTCTTTTAAGTCCCTTCTTAAAACAGACTTTTATAGGAGAGCTTTTCCCGATCTTATTTGACTTTATTTTATCCCTTTTATTTTATTGTATTTTACTAATTTTATATTAAATTTTCATGCTCTTATCTTTTTTTTTGTATTATTCTTTACACTTGTTAAAGCACTTTGTAACTTGTCCAGTATCTTCAACCAAGTCCAGTTGCCCTTCATTTTAACCCTCGTTGGATAACTATGACCTGGATGACTGAGAATCTTCATAGACACTTTGTAACTTGTTTTTGAAAAGTGCTCTACAAATAAGGATTATTATTATTATTATTATTATTATTATTATTATTATTATTATTATTTTTGTTAAAGATTAAAATTATTTTTGTTTAACCAGAAACAACTCCAAAGTCGCCATCACCAAACACACCAGACTCCATTTAATAATCAATAATTTTAGCATGTATAGAGCCAGCATAATTATTACATGTAAATGGGTGGATTTAGGGTTTATTTCAAAACACCAGAGTGGTGATTGTTGGAACAATGGAAAAACAACTAAGATGGTTTGTGAAGGTTTTATCTTGTTTCTGTCGACATTAAATGAAGTAAGTGCTCATACCAATGCTAATAAGAAATAAGAAATGTGTTCATTCATATTTTGAGAAAATACTAGATGGACCAGTGGACTTAGTATGCAATTTTGTTGATCACAGGCCACTTTTGGACTTTGGGTTCTCACTGAAAAAAGAAAATTTGTTTTAAACTATGTTCATTTTCTTGGCTGGGTAAATGATGTGCAGTATGTGCCCTTAAGCCTCCCATATAATTATGTTTTTTAGGTCAGTGGAATTTGAGATTTAAGGTTCAGGAAACTGTATATACCCATGATTTTATGCTCCTCTAGGGTTTGGAGGTGAATGACTTAAGTCAATAGCAATGCTATTGCTAGTTTGTGTTTTTGGAGGATGGATGTCTTTCAATATTTTTCTTTTGCATTCACTTAATTTGAAAAAGGCTTATTTCTCAGTTTCCTGTTTTCACTTTTCTATGCCAAGAAAACAATTACAAAGTGAAATTTCTTATATCTTGGCCTCAAAGATATTAGCCAGTGTTTACATGAAGACTTCCTTAAATCAAACAATGATCCATCCTGCTTTGTGTCTGTAGATACAAGGGAATCATTCTGTCAGCAATGCAACACATTAATAATGTATCATGGCCTCTTGAATTATGAAATAATTCATGACAGAGTCACCTTGTGCTTCTGGTGTGCCAGGGACTTCATTTCTCATGATTACACTGGTGACCAATGCAGCTCATACCACGTCATTCCAACCAAACAACTGGGCAAGTCTTACTTCATCTGTATATTTTTAAAAGATAAAATATTATTGTCTGAGAATGTGCAACTCTTCAGCGCACATGAATGTACAATGGGCTGTCAAGCTAATGCAAACTACTTGATAAATCAGATTGGATGCTGTAAACTTTGCAGCAGTGACACAAAATGGAAGCTCCTAGTGGTTGGCTTTAAAGCAGCATAAAGGGAAAAGTGGTACTATAATATATCCGCTTACATACCATTGGTAAGTGTTGTTGTTATTGTTGTTGTTGTTGATCAATAAAGCCTTTCTATATGGAGGATCAGTTTGAGAATTACATTTTTTACATTGTCTTATACCCATTCCCCTATGAATAGAATTATATACAGTATAAGTCAAGGTCAAGCTCAAGGTCCACTTTCTTGCTTCTGGATCTTTCTGCCATTTATCACATGGTCTACAGCAGCAGATGGAATTGGCTCAGTTGAATGTGGGTCTCTCTGTTGCTGTGTTGATTTCATCCTGCACTTTTAGGACTCCTCTGTGGTGAGGTACCAGTTGAGCATAAAGGTTCAGTCTTGACCTTGGAAATAGTCACTGGACAAAATAATTACAACCCAAGGTCCAATTCCTGGCTTTCTCCTACAGATGCATTATCAGTGTTCGCTCTTTTTCTTCCTTTTATGTATCTAACGGCCCTGCCACCTGTTGTACACCCTACTGTCAACTGAGTTAAAACGTGTCTAATAATTCCATAAATAATAATAATTTAAATAATGTTGAGTGCCTCACTTTCTGTCCTCTGCTGCCTGTGGCCTTGGTACTAGAGCATGGAGAACAACGCCACATGCAGAGACCATCCTACTATGGTGTCAAAGCCCTACTACAGAGTGGACCTCTTTAACAGGCAGATGACAAATGTCCTGCTCACATCTTTGCTGGTCACAACCATAGAGAACAAGACTGTAGCCCATATTGGCACGTCTACTGGACGCCTTCTGCAGGTACAAAAACATGATTTTAAAAATGAATAATTCTTTTATCATTCATTTGGTATTTGTCTTTACTTGACCATTATACATAACCACTACTAATAATCACATGTTGTATCTGTGTTGACAGCTTGTATTGACAAGATCCAGCCCTGTTATCTTTGCCAATTACTCTTTGGTAGAGAACCAGAGGGTCTCGTCCATCACCGCTGTTTACTCCTCAGAGTATCTTCTCTTTGTAGTTGGAGACAAGGTATGAGAGCAGTCCCATGTCTTTAAATGAGAGAAAAACAATCTTTTGGGGCAAATGTTTTGAAAGTGTATAATTGTTTAGTGGATATTACTGTCATCTGATGCCAGGAGGCTCTTAGGGTCAGCCTTTCTTCCACAGTTCAAAGACATGCAGGTCTGACGCACCTCTGAAAACTGCAGATCTGAAAACTGCAGAGTCCAGTAGTTTTATCAGCTGCTCAGGTCTCTGGTTAAGCTTGGCAACAGGCAAAACCATTTCCTCCCACAAAATGACACATCTTTTCTAAAACCCTTAAAAACCATGGACATAAGCAATTGTTAATGAAAACAGAAGTTGTGAAGATGCCTTACATTTTATCAGGGATGCTGTCACTGTAAGAAAACAATATCTTTAGTTGAAGATAATTTGTATGTTTATTAGACTTAATTTCAGCTGTCCATGTGACCTGTCAAACAGCCTGGTGCTGAATGTGACCCAGTATCAGTATTTATCTCTTTGCGTGGAAGGGATAAATTATTATATTATTATATTAAGGAGTAAATGTAGGTAATTTCATTCAGCAGATATGTTAATGGTCACATCAGTAATGAAATAGCCCAGGGCATCTTTCTTCTAAGATTGATTGTGTAACCTTAAGAATTATTATCTCTCTGTTTCAGATGATCCAGGTGCCCCAGAGAGGGCCGGGCTGTCAACACTTCCTGACTTGTGCCATGTGTTTGACAGCTCCTAAGTTCATGGGCTGTGGATGGTGCTCTGGAGTGTGCTCCTGGGAGAGCGAGTGTCACAGTCGCTGGAGGAACGACTCCTGCCCACCAGGGGTCACTGGGGTGAGGTTTGTTCTGTAAGCCAGGATACAAACATCTCTTTGCGCAACAAATAAAAACATTTCATTTCAAGGTGGTACTATATCTTCTGCTTAATTTATACAGTTCTTTCCACGGACTGCTCCCCCTGATGGTCAAACAGAGTTAACAGTGTGTGGATGGGAGTTCCAGTCCCCCTTAAGACCTGTCATCACCTCCAGAACCCATCAGGTCCGACTGGGACATACTGCCTGCACTGTGCTTCCAGTCAAAAGCAACAACACACAGTGAGTATTGATGCAGTCCTCATTCTGGTTCCAAGTATAATCTGTTCATACTGCAGTTGTTTTGTGGGAATTGTGCTTTTTAGTTATTTTACTACTGGACAGTAGCTCCATGGGTACTTGGCTTGGGAACCGGAGGGTTGTTTGTGTATGTGTATGTGGGACTGGCGATACCATCATTTTTTCTACCAATACTTTTTCTTACCATTTTAATAATACCGATACTGTAACCAATACCAATACTGATTATTACTAGGGTATGTGATTTTCCAAAATAATGGTCATTTTTAGAGATAAAAAAAGATCATTACACTTACAGGTTCAGTAACTTTTATAAATATAATGTTTGGCTTATTTGCTGAAACTGTCACTACATCCTGACAGTAATGAGAAAATGAAAATGAAACAAAAATGTCTGGTCCTGAGTCAAAACAACCAATCACAACCAGGCGGAGTCAACAACAGAGTGTCAATCCCTGCTCCTCCACTCAGTGAAGTTCAATACCTTCAGAAGTTTGCAAACACAATGGCTGAGAATCAACCACCAGCAGTGAAAGAGCTGCCCATCTCTTTTCTTTGCCAACAACAGCAGCATTTAGTAAAAAATCACGTCCCAGCTCCACACGGAGCTTCAGGGTCATTATGTTTGATGCCATGGCACTCGTATCGACTAGAGGCAAAGAGGCATGATGACAAACAGTGGAGAATAACTTTTGATGAGGGACAGTGGTGTGCTAGCCTCTCATGCCACTGTTAGACGTTGTTGCAGCTCCCTCTGAAGCAGGGGGCACTCTCCCCTGAGCTGGAGGGACATCTTTGAGAAGACAAGTTGCGGCGAGAGGAAATGGGGTCTTGGCGAGACTGTATCAAAAAAATAGTGTATCTTGCTGTGAAAATATTCATTTTGTTCTTGCAAAGCTTCAAATCTGTATGTATGTGATGTTTTCTTTTGATACTATGTTTGTTGACAGATTGAAATAAAGATTTTAAAAAAGGCCACATGCTTGGTTGCCATGTCACATAGGTTTTCACAGATATGTGCCGGGGCCAGCTAAATATTTTAGGGCTTTTTATAGGCACAAACATTATACAAAAGTACTAACTCTGTTTAAAGTCCAACAATTTTAATTTACCTTTAAATTCAATTGTCACTTGTGTTGCAGTAACTGTATGCCACTGATATACTAACACTAGTATTTCGTTGTGCTGCCCTGCAGCCTGGTGTGTAAGATTCGCTCTGGGGCCACTGAGTTGTCCAAACCAGTCAACATTACAGTGGAGGTGCATGAGGGAAAGGTGGATGGACGCTATTCTATTGATGGGAAGGCAGAAATGCCAGGATTCACATTTGTGGTAATTTTTGATATTGCCATCTACTTATATTCTCATTACAACGAATCAACGCTATAAATATTTTTATAAACTATTTAATCTTTGGAACTACTTTTACCCTTCTCTACGATCCCTCCAGATTCCCAACATCACAGAAATCCAGCCCAACTATGGGCCGCGTGTTGGGGGCACACTCATCACAGTGACGGGACCTTACTTGGATGCTGGAAAGACCAGGAAAGTCACTCTCAATGATGTGCCCTGTCCTATAAAGAGGTCTGGAAATACATCCCCCCTTGTTTGAATTTACCTGAAATGTTTTGCTTTGTGTAGGTGCCATACTTCCTAGATGTTAATAAGAGAAGTTGCTGCTAAGAACATTTCATTGCCACAAAGGAAATGTGTTCTAACTTGTGTTTAGAATTATCATAGTTTGTGGAACTACAGGCTAACTCGTCGTCTAGCATCCAAACACTTTCTCAGGACAGAACTGTTTTCTACTGCAGATGCCTTATAGAACATGCACAGTATATTAAAAGGTGTGAAGCTTTTTAGTTTATAACCCTTTGTCTGTTTTGGCATGTGATTCACATACCACTGTCTCTCCACAGAGTCACAAAGCCTAAAGGCAATGTGTCCTCCATCATTTGTCTGTCTCAGCACATGTCAGAGGTGAGAGATGTTCCACTGAGTGTTTTCATCGACAAGTCTCCTGTCCTCACCACAAAGGTGTTTTACTACAAAGACAACCCACAGATTACAGCCGTCCTGCCTGGCTGTAGCTTTGACCGGTAGGACAGTCAGACCTCCAGCACAACCAGCTGTGTATTTGTATTTCGATATGGAAATCAGCCAATTTTATTTCTCATCTTTTTGACAAATTCATTTGTAACAGGAAATGGTCTTCAACATGTAACCATCTCTTACATTTGCAGGGGTTCAAAGATTGTGATTGAGGGGGAGAACCTGGATTCTGTGTACCGCACCATCGTCCGCTTTAAACCCAATGAGAGCCACTTGAAACCTGTGACAAGGGTACAGTGTTCATTGTTAAGTACAGTAGATACTTTCAAAAGCATTACTCTTTTAGTCAGTCTATTGTTTAAGATGTACTTGATTTCCCTCCAAGCCTATATGATTACATGTTGCTGTATTGGCTTAGCATAAAGTATGATTACACTGTTTTGTTTTGTTTTGTTTCAGGAATGCATAGGCAAGTCCTTGCCCACAAGGATGGAGTGTATCTCTCCTGTGTTCCCCAGGGATGAGACAGAAGAAGGAGAGCTTTCTTTTGACATGGACGGAGCGTTGGGACTTTGGAACAAAGAGTTCTCCTACCACCCCTACGGCGAGCCTATACCTTTTGAAACAGAGGGACATGTGTTGAGTTTGTACCCTGGGTTTGACGAAGTGTCACTACATGTAAGAAAATGTTCTGAGGATATTTGCTTTTGAATTAATGACAAAACACTTGTTTCTTATAATAACTTTTGTCTCAAATCTTGATTTAACCTCTCTGTACACAGCATCAAAAGCTGAATCTGGTGAGCTCCTGTATGACCATCATCATGACGGTGGCAGGTGTTAATTGTGATGCTAAAGTCCTGGATAATGAGATCACTTGCAGGATCCCCAAAAACATGACCATCCCAAGTGAGGGACTGCCAGTGAAGGTTAGTGAGGCTGGGTTTAGATATTGATTAATTGACTGAATTACCTGGATCCAGCATGCAACACGTGGCCCCAATGTCACACATATGCCTGGCTAGTGGACACCAACCGTTCTTGTACATTGTGCAAGTACCCTGTCAAGCAGCCAAAAATATCATATAATAAATTCAAACCCCAAATCCCAGAAGCTCAATATATTTATAATAAAGATAATCAAGATATTTTGAATCACATTTTTTATTTTGAATATACAAACCAATGAAATTCTGCCATTTAGCATGTCTGCATGCTAATAGGGTACTACATAGTTAATGCTAGCATTCAAAGTTAGTAAAACTTAATGGTAAAGTGCAGCTTTTTGGGAAAACACTTATTTACTTTCCTGCTGAGAGTTTGAGAGGATTAATACCAATTTCATGTCTGTTTGATCTTTCGAGGCTTACGTCAGCAGGAGGTTAGCTTAGCTTAGCCCAAAGGCTGGAAACTGAGGGTATCAATTAGTCTGTCCAAAGGTAACTAAATCCACCTACTGGCACCTCTAAAATGTACTAATCTGGACTATTTCTCAGCCAGGCACAGTAACGTCCTGAAATTTAACAAACAACTGGGATATATAACTTGTTAATTAGTGAGCTGAAGGTATCTTCATATTTAACTTCATATTTATTGTGAAGACATGAGAGTGGTATTCCATTCACTCATCCATTTTCTGGCAAAGCAAGGTAGTTCAGGCGTCCCTCCCCTCAGAAATGTTTTCCAGTTCCACCCGAGGGATCCTGAGGTGTTCCCAAGCCGGATGAGATATATAATATATCTCTCCAGCGTGTTCTGGGTCTACCCCACGGTCTCCAAAGAAGCAGTGGCTCCCTCCGGATGTCCGGCCTCTTAGCCTATCTCTTAAGGGTGAACCCAGCCACCCTACAGAGGAAACTCATTTCGGCCAATTTCTTTAAATACTGTAAGTGTTTGTCAAGAACTAGTAACATTTTAAATTAATCAGTAGCAAACCTTCAACAATGCTGTATTAAGCAACAGAAGGGTTGCCTTCCAGAGTTAACTAATAAAAATCTCTCTGAGTTAAAATCTACCTATCAGAGGTAGATTTTAACTTTTTTGGTAGTTAGCCATATGCTTTTGAAAACAGGAGTCAGAGCTTTGAAGTAATCCATGTGTGACAGAAAACACAGCAGGTCTCAGTGTAAATTGCTTGAAACATTAATTTGTGTTTTCCCATTGTGGCACTTACAAGAAAAGGACTGATAACAATGCTATAATAATGGTCTTCACTGTGTATGATGGACTCTTTAGATCTCTCTTCTTTAGATCTCCATCAATGGGCATGTCCACAACGTTGGCACGGTGGTGAGGGTGAGCAACCACTACATGGTGGGCATTGTTCTGGGGATCCTGGCGGCTCTGGTGGCTGGGGCGGTGCTGGCATTCGTAGTCATGAAACACTTAAGGAAGGAGAAAAAAGGTGGGCTACCCTCTGTTACGTGGACCTTGGTCAGACCTGTTAAGTGCTACCGGCTGTGGGTGGAAATTTGGGATGAATTGCACAAGTCTGTCAACTAGAACATCCCTGGTGTTGCATGGGATGTACAGGTGTTCTTCTCCTGGGGTTGATGATTAAAATATGTTGGGAAATGTTTTTCAGCTTCCATGGTAGAGACCCGTTTGTTGCACGGGGCTCACCGCACTAGTACAAATAATGTGGAGCTGTCGCCCATGGGGGACTACAGGAGAGGTGACTGTTTAGCCAAGCACTGTACTGTAATACTGTTTCAATTTGCTTCACACACACACACACACACACACACACACACACATATCTTTGCAGCTCTCATTAATAAACCCTTCCTTCTGGACTTTTACCAGTAGTATCCCTAAGTCCTCCAACTCCACTGGTAGGGCCGGTGGTGTTCCCCAGCCTGGCCTACGCTGCAGGCAGCATAGATCCTACGCTCACTACTCTCATGCCTCCAGAGAAGATCTCCATCTCAAGTTTTAGGCCAGAGCTTCTGGAGGAGGTGAAGGATGTTCTTATTCCTGCTGAGATGCTTATTGTGCAGCACCACCGGATCATAGGGAAGGGTAAGGAACCCCACTGCCTCTGTCTGAAACAAAAAACTTGTTATGGAGGCTTATGTAAGCTGTATCATGTTTTGAAGGAACAGCTGCAGTCTTGTGTCATTCTGTCTTTTCACTGCAGGTCATTTTGGCACTGTCTATCACGGCTACTTCACAGACCACAACAACAGAGAAATCCACTGTGCTGTCAAGTCTTTGAATAGTGAGTGATATCTGCTTCTTGGTTGTACCTTCTCTTCAGTGCTACTGCTGTGGAACAAATTGTCACAGGATTCCGGATGTTTCCTGAGTAGCATTTTCAATGCACCTTTTCAAAATAGTGATTCAGTGTCTTTCTTCCTTTAGATTTAAATCCATTATGTTTATGTATGTGTGTGTCATCAGGAATAACAGACGTCGAGGAGGTGGAGCAGTTTCTGAAGGAGGGTATCATAATGAAGGGTTTCCACCACATTAATGTGCTGTCTCTGCTGGGCATCCTCCTGCCACAGGAAGGGCTCCCCCTAGTGGTGCTGCCGTACATGAAACATGGGGACCTGCGGCACTTCATACGCTGCGAGAAAAGGGTGTGACAGCCACATTAATGTTAATCATCTGATTTAAGCACAACCGTCCATTTACTCCTTAGCCAACTATGCAACATTTACAACTGATTTAAGTCTGTGGTTTTGTCATGTGTTTGTGGGATTTGTTCAGAACCCCACTGTAAAGGATCTGATTGGCTTCGGGCTGCAGGTTACCAAGGGGATGGAGTATTTGGCTCAGAAGAAATTTGTGCACAGAGATCTCGCAGCACGCAACTGCATGTGAGTCACCGAGATGTGCAGAGAAATCAGCAATTTACTCACTGCCTTTAGGCCTGCAATTTACTCACTGCCTTTAGGCCTGAATCTCTCTTTTATTTATTGCGGGGAGATGTTTCATGGTACAAATTTGGTTGAGGTTGTTACATCATAGTACACAGTATAATGTTTTGCAACAAAAATATCATCTTACTTTCACTGTCTTTAGGCTGGACGAGTCGTATACAGTCAAAGTGGCAGACTTTGGCATGGCCAGAGATGTTTTTGATAAGGAGTATTACAGTATTCAGGATCACCGGAAGGCTAAGCTGCCAGTCAAGTGGATGGCCATTGAGAGTCTGCAGACACAGAAATTCACCTCCAAATCCGATGTGGTGAGCAAATGAAGATCTACATTAGTATAACCTGGGGGTCGGGCCTCTCAAGGGGTTGCAAGGTAAATTTGAGGGGTCACGAAATGATAGGAAAGTGAAAAAACTAATCTTTGATCACCCCCCCCCCCCCTGATCTAAAGGATACTTTTACCTCTTTAGGCCTTTAAAATTATTTAAATAAAACAAGGTAATAAAAATTTGCATGTAAACATGGCTTTGGTTCAAGGGGTCCCAGGACCCAACGTTTGGAAAACACTCCTCTACAAAACATTTAACGTTGATTGCCACCTTGTTGGGTTATGCACTAAATCTTCCAGATTGCTTCACACATTGAAAGTTGTATATAGGTTTTACGCTTGTCTTAACAAAACAAGCAAACACAATACTGATTGGGAGTTCAGGGCTGTACAAGTGTACTGGAACTTGCGATAACTTTTTGCCTTTCCTGACCCAGTGGTCCTTTGGTGTTCTGATGTGGGAGATGCTGACCAGAGGAGCGAGCCCCTACCCAGAGGTTGACCCTTATGACATAACACATTTCTTACTGAAGGGCAGAAGGCTTCCCCAGCCTCAGTACTGCCCTGACCCTTTGTAAGTAGTAGGAGTAATTACATGTTGCTGTAATTTAATCTCATGATTGTAAATGTGTTGCTTAGTTGTATACATCCACTGTAAAACTTCACAGAATTAAGGACTGTTTTAGTATGAATGCTTATACTACAATACTACTAACACAGGTTTTCAGCTACAAGACAGAAGAGAAAAGATACTGACACAAAGTCCAAGTAGTAATAACAAGATCTTCGAATGGTCACTCAGTAGTGTGAAACCAGTAAATTGTCCACGACTTGATATTCCAACACGGTTAAGCAATGCACTTTGGGAGTTAATGTGTATGTCTACAAGACACCTCGACGCACAGTGCTAGTTTCACACACATGAAACACACACACACACACACACACACACACACACACACACACACACACACACTTATGTAGAAAAGCCTAAATGTTTTTGCTGTTTTAATGATGAATACCTTGGACTGTAAGCGTTTGCCCACCAACTTACAGATTGATGGAGAATAAATCAACCATTCACATCCCTGGTCAACTGAGGCCGTGTCACACATCTAACATGGGTTAAGGACTCGTGGAAAAGTGTCAACCAGGAACACCAACACTGGATGAAATATCATTTTTTTTGCCCTTGATGAAAGTTAGATGAGAAGTTCGATACCGTTTTCATGTATATTGATTCAGTATGAATCTAGAGCCAACAGATGGTTGGCTTAGCTTAGTTTAAAGACTGTAAACAGGGTAACAGCTAGCCTGGCTCTGACCAGAGGTATCAAAATCCCCCTACCAGCACCTCTAAAACTCACTAAATGCCATGTTTATGTGGTGTTTGTTTAATCTGTAAAAAGCACTACGTTGTCATTCTATGGGGCACTTTGGTTTTTGTATGGATTAAAACAGCTGGGCTAGCTGTTTCCAGTCTTATTTTCTAAGTTAACTGCTGACTCCACCTACATCCTTACCATACAGATGTAAAGAGTGGTATGGATGTTCTCCTTCCACTCTCAGCAGGATTGCTAGTAAGTATATTCCTACAACTGGTTGATGTTCAGGATAACTTATTTTAGTTGGCAACATTCCTTATTTACCTGACCACAGTATAATTTTAACTTTTCTATCACTGCCAAACAGTGCTTAAAGGGGCTAAACAGGTGTATTTCACCTATTCTAGTGCAACATAGCTGGGTCAGACAATCAAGTCTGCACTTGCCCACACAGTCTTTAGAAGAGGTCTAATAAGGCACAATAAGTAAAAACACCCATGTGGGTGGATTGTGGGTGTGTACGGTCTTTAAGATCCAGCAGCCATCAGCTTCAGACAGATAAAAAAACACAACACCTTGTGAGCTCTGTTTATAAAATGTGCAAGTCTGGTATTTCAGGAAATGCGAAAGTAATTAGAGATTTTTTTAATGATAGCCAAAATATAGTGGACTGTGTTGGCTATTCCCTCAGAGTTTGTCCATGTTTTTACAGGTATAGCATTATGCTTCAGTGCTGGGACCCTGATCCAGAGATGAGGCCTAGCTTTGCTACACTGGTGTCGGCTGTCTCTACCATCCTGTCTGGCCTGGAGGGAGAACACTACATCAGTCTGAATGTCACCTACGTCAACCTGGACCAGCCTCGGCCCTACCCCGCCCTCACAGAGTCTGCTGACGAAGACGAATCCACAGATATTGAAGACTCAGGCTCAGTCTCTTCCTGATCCACTCCTCTTCCTCTCTCGACTTAGACTTCTTAGTCTTCTTAGACTTCTTCCTCTTAGACTGGTATCGGTGCTAACAGCATGAGCAAAGAAACAAACAAACCCAAAACAAAACTCTGCTAGGTTACAACACGTTTCTTACTACCTGAAACAGAGATACTGTTTGGGTGCGTGAAAGTGGTAGTAAGATGCTTTCAGCACACCAGCCATATTGGAGGTCTGTCACTTTCAACAATAGCTGAGTAAAATGTGAACTTCCAAACTTGGTCAGATATTGAATAGACATTCAATCTCTGTGTTATTTTTCACTGCTAACAATAAATGTCACTGTTGATACATCTAATCTAGTTTTGTAGTTACAGCTTGTTAGCCAGCCAAACAAAACACGCCTTGTTGTTAACACTTCCTATGTACCCATTAATTGGCATTTCACTGGTTTGCTAAATCACGCTGCAGGTTAGCTAGCTGGACAACAATGGTAAAAACAGAGTTTGTTGAATTAGGGTCTTCTAACACCACCGTAATGTGCAAAGAAAGTCACATGCCTGGGCTAAATGGTAACAAAATCTTACTCATTGCTGAACAGACCTGTTCCAAAACTACAGGAGTCTTTTTCAGATATTTGTTTTTCTTTTCTTGCCCAGCTAGTATTAATGTAGTCATTATAAATGCTTGCCATGTAATTTTATCCATGTCTAACAGTGTTGGCTACAGTATTGAGGAAAGGAGTCACAAAAGTAGTTCTACAATGCAAACAAGTTAAATCTAGAGGCTTTCTACTACCTACAACATAGTGTACTGTTACAGCAGCAGAGCCCATGTGTATATACGTTTAGGTATGACAATCACACATTTGCTTTTAATTCTTTTGCAGTGTAGTGATTGTACTGTGTATTTTGGATCATACCTTTTGTAAGGCAGAATGTTGACCACAATGCTCTGAATGCTTTGTATTTCTGACACACTGTCTTTGAGATAATGTGTAATGAATTAAAATATTTATTTGTTTATAGATTTGTTCTCATGCTGTGGACTTTAAGTAAAAATGAGAATTTATGCAAACTCTGCCTTTTGTAATTGATTTATGTCACAGTCAAATATTTTCCCATATGGATGCTAAGTGAATTGACTGAACTCAGTCTTTTGTTGCAGTTCTCCACCAGAGGTCAGCATCTTGTTAGAAAATCTCTGCATTGTTGCTGATCTGCTCCTGAAAAGGTACCCGGCAACATGGATGCAGCATTCTTTGTGTGTGCATCATTTTTGCAGCAGCATAGCAACGCGTATGACCCAGGTCTTTCCCCTTATCTCTTTAAACCAACAAATAAGCCCTCTAGATGCCAAATAAGATTTAAAAGCAGACCAGAACAATGCAACGGACCAGGCAGACATGTTTTCCTCTTTCCTTCCTTTAATTTGCTCTGCCTTCAGACATTTGGCAGACGCAAACGACTGCAATGTCAATTAAATGAGTGGAAGAAACAACCAACCTAGACAAACAATCTGTCAATCTCACAAATAAACCTAACAACAACATACAGTAGCAACTCCCTGTGCTGTAAACAGACGTCACACACAACAAGCACACTTCCCCCACAACAAAACCCGAGTCAAATAAAACCAGAGGGAAATAAACATCATAAAGTTTTCTCTTTTTTTCGTGCTGCCAAAAACAAAAAGTCAATCCCTGAGTGGTGGGGCCTTTGATATAGACAGAGCGAGTGAGCCCAGCACAGTGTACGTTATCAAAATATACGTGTGTGTGTGTTTCGCAGGGCAGGGCCCACAGGATCCACAAAGCAGAAGGATCAAGACAGCCACAACTCCACCCCCACTCCTTTTCTCTCTCTGTATCTCCTGTTCCCTGTTGTATTATCTTGCCTATAAAAAAGTACAGAACCTGTTAAAAGTGCTGCGGTCAGGTGTGTGACCATCTTAAACTTCATAGCCATTCTCCTGATCTGGGTTTATCATTAGGTCCCACACACTATAGGCTTTTTATGTGTATCTGATCTTTTTACCCTTCCCTTCTTCTGATGTGATTGTTTAGATGGACTTCAAGAGACTGCAATAAGAGAGGTGATGCTGATTGATCATGATGCAGAGAGTGTGTGCGGTTTACTGTATGTCTGTATGCTGTATGTGTTATATGGCAGCCACATCAGAGGAAACCTGAATAACCAGTCTTTGGGTGCTGTGTCAAGTTTGGAGTGAGGGAAAGCAATCTGTGAGATTGGCCAAGACTTTCTGAAAGTAGTAGGCTAATTATTTCCGTTGCTATGTAATGATGGCTGGCCCTCACAAATAAGTGTTGGAGCCGATCTGGGTGTTCTTGGATTCTTTTCCAGTAGGATCTGGCATAAAAACCCTATGGAACCAGTGAAGCAAGACTCATCATATATTACACTGTGCTGCAGGAAATAGCTAAAACGCCAAGAAAGAGAGGTATTTTGCACATATTCTGCATTTGCATTCAGATAAGCTTATTTTGCACTAGTTGTATTAAAAGTTTTAACCCTAGACCTGAGTTACTTTTTGTCTTTTTCAATTCATCCTGAATCCACCAATCCTCTGCAGAAAAGTGGTGCTCATGGCGTTACGTTCAGCTGAGCTGAATGCAGGAGACAGAGGTTTGGACCCAAAATGCAGACACGGAGCAGGTACTAGTGAGTAGGTGAGGTTTATTCTCAGTAATGGTGAAAACCTACAGCTGCAGGTGTAAGCAGTCCCAGAAACACAAAGCACAGAAGGTTGAGTAATCCTAAATCCAAAGAAAGTAAATCCACAAAACACAGGACGAACAAGAAACACTGGAGGACCACTGGAGACACTAGCACGGAAAACAACGAACTGGCAAGAAATGAAAATCAGACAACCACTTAAATACACAGGTGAGGGAGCAACTAGTATCCACTAAAGCACAGGAAGTAAAACATAACAACACACACAAGAGCAGACTAAAAACTAAAACAGGACGTAAAGCTAACAGAAACATACAGGGAAGGCTAACAAAACACATGGCATGACTGCATTACTGATATAACATATACAAAAGCTATGAACACAGTAAATCAAGACCAGAACACTAGGGCAGAATGAAACTACAATGAAACTTAGGAAACCCCACATAACACAGCCAACCAAACCAAACCCATGACAGTTGGTGAGATAAAGCTATTTTACAATAATGGAATAACATTTAAGTTTCAGCACTGCTCTTCTTTCAGCCGGTCTGTAAGCATACTACAAAATGAAGTTACAATCTGCTACATTTTGCAACCTTGCATTTTCAGCCCCAAACAACCATGGTGTACAGAAATCATTCAAAATGATTCAACTGCACTGTCTTTGGACCTTAATGTTTTTGCAGTGGCTGTTAGAGGCAGGCATTAAGAGGAAAATATGTTTGTACCTTGTTCAAACATTACTGGTGCATCCAGCTCTCCCCAGTCTGAGCACTTATTGCTATATTTCAATTTACTACTTCCTGTGTGCTGAGAAGATTTCCTGTGACCATACACTACAGACCATAAATTACACTTAATGGGTTTAATGCATGTCACAGTAAGTGGCCATTACTGTTGCAATTGCAGTGAATGCATAGTTTAGAGTCCAATTTGCACATTTAATTATTGCAAATTGCCTCTTTATAATATGATAGAACTTTATTTTTATTGCACGTTCATATATACAATGCACTGCTTCACATTATTGAATGTAAAAACATTTAAACAACTAATCAAATTAAAAGGTGTCTTAATTGGTGGGGTAAGTATTGGGGTAAACAATTTAGTAGGGATGCACGATAATTATCCATGCCATAAATTATCAGCCGATATTGGGCGTATTGTCATTATAACAATTGGAAATTGAAATTTTGACAGATAATTTAGCCGACAAGAATAAACAATGCTTTAACGTGCATAGCTGCTGTTGTTGCGCTCATAACGTCAAATTGCTGCACCTGAATGGAGCCATGCAACCACAGTGTAGGCAGCGAGGGCCAAACAAACATGTTGTCGACAGTTTGGATGTTTTTCACAGTTTCACAGAAGAAGACAGCTATATTGCAATATGCAATTCATACTCTGCAATGGTTCTGAGAGGAGTGAAATGTTGTGAATTTCAACACAAGTCACCTGACAGTTTTTCATAACAACGAAGATGTGATAAAAGAATACAAAGTAACAGCTAAAATTAGCACAAGCAAAGAGAGAAACCATGAAAAAATAAAGAAATTATTGGTTATCGGATTGATGAGAAGTAGGCAATTATCAGTTATCTGATTGGTGGGGAAAAAATCTATATCGTGCATCGCTACAATTTAGATCCTTAGCTAGTAATATACTAATAAGGTAGCCAATGCAAAAATATCTATTATGTGCTCTTTTTTGAAATGTTTTTGTTAAAACTCAGGCAGCTGAATTCTGTACGAACTGTAGTCTATTCACTCATGTTTTTTGAGTAATCCAGTTAGCATTACTCCAAGCAAGAGAAAACCAAATTATGAATTCAATTCTTTGCATTAGTTTTGCAATATTTCTCAGAAATGTAGTCCAAAATGCTGACTTAGGTTTAAATCATTGTGATGAAACCCAATATTTTTGCTTCAGATTGAGTTGGCTTTGCCAGAGTCATCTGAGAATTTTGTCTCTTAGAATCAGCACCTACAACCACAATTTCAGTTTTCCCTTTATTTTAATTTCAAATAGCTGCACATCCAAAACTCTGCTCATGAAGTACTGGTAATATGTACAGTTGAGTGTCTTCTGCATAGCTGTAAATATATCATATTGGCAAGTGGAAGCACATAGAGTGACAAAAGGAGGGGTAGTATGTAACCCCGTGGAACACCATATGAAGTATAAAGGGAAACATGCTCACAAATACTAAAAACATGTCTCTCTGTTAAATAACATGGTTTGAACAGACAGAAGTGGTTTAGAGCTGGTGCATACACTGCATTTCTTTTCAGGCAGCACAATTGACTTTAGAGTCGCACCAAATTTCAGTTTTGTTATCCATCGTCAGGCTGTCACACAGTTAAAGCAGAACCGCAAGCCGATTCCCCATGATTTGTGCTTTTTTCTCTCAGTGCACCTGCAAGAAGTGGAGAACACCATAACTTACACCCGCACCTCTTTTTGTTGTTGTAGAGTAGCCAAAAACTGTACTCAAGTAAAAGTACTGTTACTTTGCAAAAACAAGTATAGGCTACTCAAGTAGAAGTAAAAGTACAAAAGTATTTACTAAAAAAATTACTTGAGTAGCGAGTAACTAAGTCTTTTATTTGATGTGGATGTGACTAGAATTATTTCATTATGCTCTTCCTCAGGTAAAGGTACAGAAGTGAACATATACTTGAATATATTTGTGAGGAAATTACAAGTCATCATCTCATTTGATTAGATAACCTGCCTTAAATGCAGACTACTCTACACTGTTAGCTTGATTATTTCCATTAAGGCAGCAAGCAGAAGGAGTTTTTAAGAACGACATACTGAGTGTCGTTATTTATTATTAAACATATCAGCATTAACACAACAGACACTGCTCTCTGTCAACTCAGTGTCAGCACGATGTAGCCTACTGACTTCACAACCAAACCCGCTGCACCAACATGGTCTCATCCCAGGGCATCAGATACCAACGCTTTGAGAAAGCCTGACACAGTGTCAATTTTGGACGCACTAGAATGAGACAGGGCTGGCTGCATGGTGCGCTAAATTTTACTGTGTAGTCTAAATAGTAGCTGCTAGCGTCATTTGGAAGCCATACTACTATGCTGTAGCTTCAGCCATTATTCTGTTCTAACAGAGTCATGTGGATGCTTGACAGCATGATGAATGTTTCCAAATCTAGCGTCGTAAAAGTAATGATTTTTCTCTCAAAAACTATTCAAGTAAGAGTGAAAGTATGATGCATTAAAACTGCTCTGACAAGTACCATTTATTTAAAAAAATTACTTGAGTACACGTAACGGAGTAAATGTAACTTGTTACTACCCACCTCTGGTGCCTTATTAGCATTATTGCTGCCTCAAACAAGTCTTCTATTGACTATCGTC